AACTCTCAAAACTACAGAATGGCAGCATAAATTATTGTGTTTTTATCTGAAAAAAAAATACATTCTATCTTTAAAAATGCAAGAAAATTCTCAGTTTTATTATTAAAGAACAGTTCTGCCAACAGAGAAGTGCTATAGCAAACAAAGCAGGGAAACTAGGAGGAGACCAAGATGGTTTTAGCATGTGCCCAGCACCTGAGCAGAACACAAGATGTGTAACGCATAAACATATGCACAGCAGTTCAAGTGGCTGAGTATTAACTCGGGCCCACATTATTGGTTTAGAAAGAATACCTAAATAAGAAGTACATGGGGATATAATCTGGAAGACAGGTCATAAGAGGAAAGGAAACTAGCAGGATTTTTAAAATAAATTTCCTTTTAAGTGGTAGTTTGCCACTGTGTTTCGAAGGAAAACAGTCATGGTTCCACCTGAAGGAAAAGGAAAGTTCTCTCTCTGGCCTCAATTCTTTATCTATAAAGTAATGTGTGTTTCCAACACTGAAATTCTATGAGCCTATCACTAAGGCAACCCTAGTAGAAGAAATCCTAAAAATTGGCTAGTGAACCAGAGAAGTTGTCAGTTATGTGCCTACTACTCTTTTATTGAGGCTACAAATATTTACTGACTACTTGCTCGGTGTCAAGTACTGTACTGACTGCCAAATATTCAGAGGCATATAAATAAGAGAATGCCATCTAATAGTTAAAAGTGTAGTGAGAAATACATGGCATATAAATCATGACAAGGTGGTATGATAAGTGACCAGGTGCTTAAAAGCTTAAAAAGTATCGTGGAAGACCAAAGGAAGGAGAAAATAATTCATTTTGGAGGGATGAGAGGCATTATAGGAGATGTCCCATCTAACTAGATCCTAAAGGGTGAGTACAAGTTTGCCTGGTGGAAATAAGAGGAATGGACATTTCAGGATGTTTAAAGCAAGAAGATATAAAAGAATATGGTTACATTCAAAGAAGGGGGAGAATTTCAAAGGGGCTGAAATATGGGATGCATGGTGGAAAGTAACAGGAAAAAATCCAGTGGGAAGAGCTGACAACAGATTACAGAGGATTTCAAATGCAATTCAAAGTAGTTTGGATTTTATCCTTAGGGAAATAGCAAATTACTGAAGGAACTTAACCAGAAGAATAATGTGATCTGAATTTCACTTAAGAAAAAAAATCTTTAGTGTTCTTAAGAAAGATGAGTCATCCAGAATGTTGTGTATGTGTTTATGCTCCTGCCATGTGTATTTGTGTGCTTAACTGCCCTTCTCTTATCTGGGCCTTGGTGCTCTGCTGGACATGTGATGCGGACTGGTGCTGACCAGTTTCTTTTACCTCCACATTCCTTCAAGTCTCTGTTTTTAGTCTCTACAACCACCACTGATAAATGCTGTTGAAAGAAGGTAAATAAAAAGAGGGGGGAGGAAAGGAAGAAAGCATATGAATAATCACAAAGGAGATATCTAAGAGGAAGAAGAGAGATGCTGCACAAATAAAAATAACATAATAGCTAAAGTGTATTGAGTACATACTATGTGCCATGCTTGTTATGTATGCTTCAAAGTGTCTCATTAAATCTCAAACAACTCCACAATAATGCTATAACTTACCCCATTTTCAGATGAGTAAAGTGAGGCTTAGAGTAACTTGGCTTTGGTTACAATGCTAATTATAAACTTTTGAACAGTAATAGATACAGAGGCAGAGCTGCTTCGAACAGATTGTCCAAATGCAGCGGGAAGGCCGGGGAAAGTTGGGGGGCAGGAGGGAGGGGTATAAGAGATCAACCGAAGGACTTTGACTATAAATCCCAAGCTTTTAACTTTTATACTGTAGTCCCAATGATATCACTTACTGAATGCTGACTGTATGCTAAGAACTACGCTAGCTGCTTTGTGTAGGTTAGCTCTAATGCCCATAATAACCTAAAAGAGTGAATGTCATTGTACCCACTTTACAGTAGAGAATATAGGCTCTGGGAAATTAAGTAATTTACCAAAGGTCACAAAACCAATTAGAAGCAGCACCAGAGCTTTAACCCTGGTGTGTTTGGCTGCACCCGTTCCACCATACTATGATACGCATATTCCGGTTCCCTCCTCCTCCTCCCCCATAAGACCCTTCCCCATCTCTACATTTCCAGATCCCACCTCTGAGGCTCAGCTAATAGCTTACCTCCTCCAGAAGCCTTTCAGAAACATAGCCCATTATTGCATGCCTATTGCAATTATTTGTGTAACATTCATTTTCCTTGATGAAGACAGATTTGTATTTGTCAGTTCCCTGTTCTGTTTGTGTTCTATGTCCCAATCAGTGACTTCATATAAGTGCCCTGTAGCAGGTTCTTCAGCAGTTAGTACCATCCAAATATCTTACACTACTCTCAATAAGCCTCTAGAGGGGGATAAGCATTCTGTTATATAATTTGTATCCTTCGAGGACCTGGCAGAATCCTAAGCACATATTAGGTCTCACTTATGTACAGATTTGCTCTAATATACTTTAATAGTAGGAAGTTTTCAGTCATAATGCTAACAACAGTAACAGCAAACTGTGTGTGCGTGTGTGTGTGTGTGTGTGTGTGTGTGTGTGTGTGTGTTCAATCCTCATAATGACCAATGATCCAATGATGTAAGTAGTATTCTTATGCCCATTTTACAGAAGGAACTGAGGAACTAAGTTAAGTGACTTGTCCAAAATCACACAGCTAATAAGTGGCACAGTCAAGATCCAAATCCATGTAGTCTCACTCCAGAGTCAACATTCCCTTGACTACTTTACATGCTATTTTCACTCAAATAGACATTGTTCTAAGATTAAACAATTCTCATGCCTTGAAAATGTTAAGACCCACTCATTACTTCTGCTATAAACATAGGAGAAGTTGGGAGGAGAT